TTAAATAAAATAAAACACAAAAACACTGAGATGTTTATAAGCAAGATCCAACACAAAAATATCATACTTTACCAGTAAATTCTATAGGACAGTTACTTTCTGTATTGGTCAGGGTTCTCTCGAAGAACAGATCTGATAGAGTGGGGGAGTGTGTACTGTGTGTGTGTGTGTGTGTGTGTGTGTGTGTGTGTATGTGTGTGTGTAAAGGGGATTTACTAGAATGGCTTACAGGCTTTGATCCAGTTAGTCCAAAAATGACTGTGTACCAACACAAAATCCAAGTGTCTAGTAGTTTTTTAGTCTGTGGGGCTGGATGTCTGAGCTGGTCTTCAGTATAGACTGGAGTCCCAAAGAAGCAGGTGCTAGAGCCAGTGGAAGAATGGATTGCCCATGAAAGAGAAAGCAGGCAGGCTAAGAGAACAAGCTTCCTTCTTCCGTGTCCTTTATATGGGCTGCCAGCTGAAGGTATAGCCCAGATTAAAGGTGGATCTTCCATCTCAAAAGATCTAGAATAAAGGTCTATCTTCCCACTTCAAAAGTGCTGGATTAAAAATAGCTCTTTCCACTTCAAGTTATATAATTATGAAAAAATCCCTCACTAGTAGACACACTGCACACTGCAATGGAAACTTGATTTGAGTATAGAATTGCTGTGGAATATTTGTTTAAGACGTGTTACATTTGGTTATGCTGTGAAAAATTTTCTTAAGGATGCAAAAATGTGTTGCATTCTTTTATGTTGCATTTCTTTAATTCTGTAAAGCTGCACTATTTTGCCTGTCTAAAACACCTGATTGTTCTAATAAAGAGCTGAGCAGCCAATAGCAAGTCAGGAGAGAGAAACAGGGGGGCTGCTAGGCAGAGAGGAGGAGAAGAAGGAGCCAAAAAAGGAGAAGGAGAGGAGGGTGCCAGGAGCCAGTCACCCAGCCACACAATCAGCCACAGAGTAGGAAGGAAAGAAAGGTATATAGACTAGAGGAAGGTAAAAGCCCAGAGGCAAAGGGTAAACAGCATAATTTAACTTAAGAATAGTTGGCTAGAAACAAGCCAAGCTAAGTTCAGGCATTCATAAGTAAGAATAAATCTCTTTGTATTTATTTGAGAAATGGGTGGCATGCCTTCAAAGAGAAAGAGTAAAACAACAACAACCAAAAAAAAAAAACTACATTGATTTTATGAGACTGTCATAATTCAAACAAATGTGTAATGTGTTAAGTATTTTTAGCTATTTTTGTAATAATTTATTCCACAACAACATCAAACTAATAGAGCAGGCAAGTGGGTAGACTCTGACTGACACTGTGAACTACTATGAAAGACTCATAAACATCACTGCAGGCTAAGAAGGGGTCATGAGTTCTATTGCTAGGAATTGGGGCCAGGGGGAAGAGCCATAGACTGCAGGATTGAAAACAAACAGAGGACAGCCAAAGGACGCTCACTACGAGGCCTTTGCTTTGGGGGCTCAGGAAAGAACTGATTTGGAATATCTCCACACTAAATGCAGCACAGTGCCGATAGTAAGCATTTTTACAGGGCTGTGGAGATAGTTTAGGAGTTAAGAGTGCTTGCTGTTCTGTCAGATGACTCAAGTTTGGTTCCCAGCATCTACTCTGGGCAGCTCACAGCCACAGGTAACCACAGCTCCAGGGGATCTAATGTCCTCTTCTGGTCTCTCAGGGCACCCACAAATGTGAACACACACACACACACACACACACACACACACAGTAATTACTATACTATAAAATGCTATACTGTACTGTACATGTGTTAAGAAATAAAAACTTGTTTGTAGGGCTGGAGAGATGGCTCAGAGGTTAAGAGCACTGGCTGCTCTTCTGTAGGTCCTGAGTTTAATTCCCAGCAACCACATGGTGGCTCACAACCATCTGTAATGAGTACTGGTGTCCTCTTCTGGCCGGCAGGCATACATGGAGGCTGAACACTGTGTACATAATAAATAAATCTTTTTTTAAAAAAACTTGTTTGTATTACAAACAAAAATAGGCACGCATATGAGGTGATGGACAAATTAATTAAATGGATTGTGAAATCACCATGTATGTGTGTGTATCATATAAGACATTGTTGTATATTTAATTTTGAATTTTTAATATTTTCACTTACTTTTATGGAGTATATGCATATGTGGGTAGGTTTATGCATTCCATGGTACATGTGTTAAAGTTAAAGAATAACTTCAGGGAACAAGTTCTCATTCAGCCATGAAGGCACCAGGGCTCTGACTCAGATTGTCATGTTTGGTGGGAGATGCTTTTACCTTCAAAGTTGTCTCCCTGACCCTGGTGGTAGGGTTTTGTTGTTGGGTGGTTTTTGTTGCTATTTTTTGTTGTTTGTAGATTTCTTTTTTGGTCAGGGTGTCAAGCAGCCCAGATGAATTTCAAATTTACTATGTAGCCAAGGATGACCTTGAATTTCAGTTCCTTCAGCCTCCCTCTTCCAAGAGCTGGAATCACAGACGTGTGAATCAATCATGTACAATTTTTATTAGTCAACTGTACTTCAACAAAGCTAATGGAAAAAATGTAATGCAAGGGTCAAAAACCTCTGAGGATTGGTAGAAAACAAAATTTCCCCAGTCTAATGCACTCTAAGCAGGTACACACTCTGAATTTGGATCCTTCGAAAATGCATTTGGAACTTACACGACGAGTAATGGGAAGGGCAGAGCTCTAATGGCTGGGATTCATGTTATGTGGTTTTCTGACACAGGGTCTATGTAGTCTTGGCTGTCGTGTAAAATAGATTTTTAGAGAAATACAACAATAACCTACCAGTTATTTCATGCCTATTTGATGGAGGAAGGTCATTGGCTAATAAAGGAACTGCCTTGGCCCATTTTATTGGTTAGAAGATAGGTGGGAGGCGTAAACAGAACAGAACACTGGGAGGAAGAGGAAGTGAGCTCAAACTCCACAGCTCTCCTTTCGGGGGCAGACGCCTCAGAGAGACGCCATGCCCCGCTCCTGGGCAGACACACGCCATGAAGCTCTGACCCAGGATGGACTAGGCTAGAATCTTCCCGCTAAGACCGGTTCTCACAGATTATTAGAGATGGGTTGATCGGGATGTGAGAATTAGCCTGTAAGTGCTAGAGCTAAAGGGCCAAGCAGTGTTTAAATGAATACAGTTTGTGTGTTGTTATTTCGGGGCATAAGCCGAGCAGGCAGCCGGGGTGCCAGGGAGGCAGCCCCGCCGCCCTTATTACTATACCTATTAAAGTAAATCACCTTTCTTGAAGTATTAAATGTAATTAACCGAGTATTAATTTGGCATGCATTTCGATTAAATCTATTATATTTATTGTTTTTACAAAGATATTACAAGAAAAGATGTATGAATTTTCTGATGTTTTTAAAGGAACTTGAGTCTATACATCAGAAAAACTTTTGACCACATTAAAATAATTCTATTTCTAGTGCCACATTATCTTGAAGAATTTTTTCCCTGAACACTTTTTATCTTAAAAATAACCCTTACTGGACAGGAGAGGTGGCTCGGTGCCTAAGAGGACTTGCTGCTCTTGCAGAGAGCTCCAGTTTGGATCCCAACATTCACACCAGGCAGCTCACAACCACCTGTAACTCTAGCTCCAAAGGACCCTGCACTCTCTCTGGCCTCTGTGGGTACCAGACACATGTACATAGTCACATAATACAGCCTTTAAATATTTAAAAACAGAACATTTATTTAGTTTGGTTGTTTATTTCTTTTTGAGACAGGATCTCAATAGACAAGAGCAGCCCTGAATTTGAGAGATGGATCATCCTCCCCAAATGCAGAGATTAAACTGGTGTGGTGTGGTGGCTCAGGCCTTTAATCCCAGCACTCGAAGCATGCAGATCTCTTGAGTTTGAGGTCAGCATGGTCTACACAACAAGTTCCAGGACAGACAGGTCTACATAGATAAACCCTGTCTCCAAACAAATCAAAACAAAAACAAAAAAGTAAAGGGGGATCTTAAAAATTATTTGTGTACACATTATTAATTTTTTAAATGGACTTCTAAATTCAGATCCCAGCCCATATGTCAGGAAGCTCACGACTTCCTGGAACCCTGACTCTAGCAGTTCAAGTTCCATGTGTGGCAGACACACACAAAGAAGATAAAAATGCTGACTAAACAAGAAACAATATTTACAAGCTAGGCTCCACCCCTTGGGTTTGAGCAATCCTTGCAGTGCAGCATATCATCTTATTTTAATTCTTATAGAAATCCCACTGTTTCTATATTTTACAGAAGAGGAAGCTCGGTCTTGGAGGTTATAGAGTTTCTGTAACGTCAGGTTGCCACTAACAGCTGAGCCACAGCCCTACGCAGGCCATCTTCCTCATCAGGCTGTCTATGTCCCTCAACTCTAGCCCCCAAAACAGACATCCCTACTTCTCCAGATTTGTTTAAAAAGAATGATTATCTGTTTCCTCATGCGGTCAGGTAGGACGGTCGGGTGCTGCTGCTGGTGGTGTTAAGTCAAGAAAAAAAACATGTAAACATGTGCATTCTTTTAGAACTTGCTGGTGCTCTCCTTCAGTCTTCTAAACTGTAAGGGTGTTAGCTGATTACTTGTATGTTTCTGAAAGGGAGGGTGTGCCCTGCGTTGGCATTTTACACAGCAAAAACATCATGGTGTACCTGTTACCTCTGGTTCTAAAAGTTCCTGCTACATGTTTTTTATATCTTTTTCAAACTGCAGAGAATTTAGATTTCCCCCTGAGTTCTAAGTTTAGAACCGATCTGCTCTCTCTACTTTGCCCCATCTGCATTAGAAATAAGTAAAATCAGCTGGGCGGTGGTGGCGCATGCCTTTAATCTCAGCTCTCAGGAGGCAGAGGAGGGCAGATCTCTGTGAATTGGAGGCCAGCCTGGTCTACAAAATGGAGTTCCAGGACAGCCAGAGCTACACAGAGAAACCCTGTCTCAAACAACAACAACAACAGAGAATATGTAAAATCACGAGCACAGAATAAGAACTTACATGTGCCCTAACTTCAGTAGTCTCACTGAAGAATTCTCCCAGGCACCATGCTGCGTTTCAGGAATAAAGTAAGACACACGTCCACTCCAAAAGTTCGTGACTTTCCTAGGAAATGTGATCTGTAAGTCTTTCCTATTATTAACAAAAATATCACTCAACCTTTCTGTTCAAGCAGTGCAAAACATATCAACATTTAACTAACAAACGAAAATGATCAGGAAAACCAGCAATAAACATGAGCATGAATATGGTCGAACTGCTTTCTCCCTTCATCCAATTATGAGAACAAATGGTGCTGAGAATGATGCTAACGATTGCAGCTGTGTGCTCCTGGTAAATCTGCGCCGTTCCTTGGAGCGAATTCAAAGAGCAGGGAGAAAGCCTTTAAACACCATGAAGCTTCAGGTGACAATAAGGAGAGGCAATAAATGAATGCAGTTGGCAAATGGTGGCAAGGACCACGTCAAGAGCACTGAACCGAATTTAAAGGTAACAATTCTAAAGAACTGTCTAATGTCTAAGGTATTTGATTTGAAAGATTGGAAAGACTGCCAAGTCATGCGACTCTCCAAAACTGCTTTTCCTGGGAGTCCGGAGGAACCCTCGGAAGTCCGCCTCTTGGTTGTTTTCACCAGCATCACCCACCGGCTTGCTACCTTCCCTTGCTGACACTTGGCCAGCTGAATTGGGAGACGGGATTCTGCACCAGAGGTGGTTCTGGGGACACTAAAGCTGGGCACTGCTGGCTCCTGGCTCACTGGAGCTTCACTCACCACCCCACCGCCCAGTCTCATCCCTAGGCAGAGGTAACGCAGAATTCCAACTAGACCCTGGCTAGAAATTAGGGGATTTAGAGTCAAGATTAGAAACCTCTGATTACTGCACGGAGCAGATACGGAATGCATTTAGCAAATAACAGTACTGAATGAACTTTAAAAAAACCGATTCTTGGGTTTGAGACTCCTTAGAGACCCAAGTCTCCCTGACTCCACCCTGCTGAGAACCCATCAATCAAAACAGGAACGCCCATGGCAGAGTGCGGTTCTTACCTCCATCCCCAGCAATCTCCAGGCTCCGCGATGAGCCTCACCGCCCAGCAGTTGGTGTCCAGTAGAGACACCTGCGAGGCACACCTGCAGGCGACACCTGCCTGCCCCCTGCGCCTGCTTGGACGCTGGTGATTCAGCGCCTTTCCGCCTCCCGGGTTACCAGGGCGACGCACACGCACGCGCACACACGCCCTTAGGGATGGCCTGTACTGCAGCCTACATTACTAAGCGGAGGGACTTTTGTGTTTGTTTCCCTACTCTGGTCCCCCTCCCCACCTCTTCCCGGTCATAGTTCCAAAATGTTGAGGGCTTGGACAAGTCTTCCAGGAAAATGCTCCGTCCGGGCAACACGCAACTGCCTAGCGCAGACTCCTCCAAGTCAAGTCACCAGCTATTCAAGCCTTGTTTTCTGCCTAGCCTTTGAGAGTTCCGCCCAGACTCAATGTACTTTATTTTCCTGGTTTTGAGTACTGCTTTCTGACCAAGGATGAAAACCTGAGCCCACGTCGACACAGACCAATTCTGTACTTTGCAAGGTTAAAAGGATGCCGGGTGCATTTTGAGGCATGTGTCCTCTAGTGAGAATCTGAGCCAGAGGAAACGGGTGGAGCACTATTCCTTTTATTTTAATACTATAATAAGGACATCAAAATATCTAGGTACTAGTAAGGAGGAGCAGAAGGGGTGGGTGGATTATTCCTTACACTTTCCATCATCGTGGTTTAGAGACAGAGCTGCACACCGGCGGGGGGGGGGGGGGGCGACTTCCATTGGCACCTTTGTGGAGACACCTCAGACAAGTTACAAACCTGCTCAATGTTTTCTGTTACCAAATGGAGATTGACCCAGGAGCAGTAGTACACTAGTAATACCAGAACGCATGAGGATGAGGTGGGAGAAGGGCTACACAATGACACTGTTTCAAACAATAATTAAAGAGTCAGACATGCTGAGGCAGTCAGGATGATCACCGAGTCTGATGCTACCCTGGTGCATCTAGCAAGTTCTAGGCCAGGCCAGGCTATGTAGTGAGACTCTTTAATGGGAAGGTGAGGTGAGAAGGCTCAGCCAGTAAATGCACTCATTTTACCAAGCCTGATGACCTAAGTCAGATACCTGAGACCTATATAAAAATGGAAATGATTCCACAAACTGCCCTCAGGCCTCCACGTATACTTAAAGACATCGCACATAGGAAGAAAGTGGGAACTAATGGAGATAATGAACCATTTAGGAGGTGGGGGACAGTGGGTGTGTAAGACTGAGGAAGGTGCACACCTTTAATCTCAGCTCTCAAGTTGTTTAAAGTCAACATGGTCTACAAAGGGAGTCCTGGATAGACATGGCTACCCAGGGAAATCCTGACTCGAAAAACCAGTAAGGAAAGGACGGCTGAGAAGGGATAAAAGGAAGCATGGACTACTAAGTAGGAAAAAATAATTCCGTCACTGCACGGACTTGAAGGACAAGAGCAAACCTATCTACGACATTTCCTCCTCCTGTCATGATACATCTTTAATGATAGAGAAATGATGCAGACAGTGAAGAAATTCAGGAGGCAGTCTGTGACAAAGATGGAAATCATTACAACAGTGGACAAGTCCCCCACCATGACAGATTTAGGAGCGAGACAGAGTAAGACACAGTAATGAGCACATACTGATGGAGAGAAGACAATTGTACATCCTTACAGATGACAACTGCAAAAGGACCCACTTTCAACTTCTTCCCCCTCCAAAACAACCAAATGGAGTATCGCAAAAAAAAAAAAATCACTATCTTTCATTTGCACACACATCATGGAGGCACTGGAGGAAATGCCAGCCTCCTGGTATTTAGTGGACATTCACTGACCTCCCATAGCTGCCAGGCAGGTTCAAAGGGAAAATTTCAGGAATTCATAGGTTTTTTTTTTCTGATTGTTTGCTAGGATATTTTTCACATAAAATCATGGAACTATCCTAATTTGAAGGGATAAAGTCAAATTCAATAAGGTTAAAATACAATGCACACATGGATGGCAAAAACTGTGCTTACCAAAGGTGGCGGGGGCACAGCTCATCACTGGCCCCGTGATGTGGCTCAGTGGCAGAACAATTGTCTGCTACCAATTTTGAGTTGGAATTTCACTAAGAGTTTTTGTTGTCTGCTTAAATTAAAAAAAAAAACAACAAACCAAAGGGTATGGCAAATTACTAGGTTCTCTATTGTTTTAGTTTAAAAACTATTGCCCAATAAAGACTACAGGGTTGTTTCTCTTCTCCTGACTTATATTTTGTCAAAAGTAATAAACAAGGAAAGCATTTTGGTTACATAACAGAAATTATACTTTCATGTTTTTGTAACAAACTGAAGGTCTAATAGTATAATACATCACACATTTCATATTGTGACCTTTTAAACTTAACTGTACCAAGTGAGAAAGCTCCACCCTCCACTACCACACTGCTCTTTCAAGTGAACTTTTTGTTTTTGCCTGGGTCTTACTGTGTAGCCCAGGCCAGACTTAAACTCATGGCAATCCTCTTGCCAGAGCGTTCAAAGTGCTAGGGATTTAATATTTTAAAACACACAGATTTCTTGGTTATTCCGACTGAAGAGCAACATCGGAGAAAGGCTGTAGAACAACAAATCCCATCACGGACAGAGAAATCATGCTCGTCACACACAGGTTCAACGCTTTATTTACAGTACATCTTTTCTTTACAGAACACTTTTTTAAAATGCATTTTTTTATTCACCTCTAAAAAGTATTTCCATCTTACTAGTAACAATTCCAAAAGGTTACTTTTCTTCATGAATTATTCTAAGAAATAATCCCCATGTTGCTTAAGCTGCGTGTAATCATTACCAAGCTTAACTGTATCACTTATCAGGAAAAAAATTAACATTAATCAGAAGTTATTGGAATTAAAGTGCAAATTTAACTCATGACTAAGTCAGTTATACTATCAGCAGACAAGAATTAAGTCTGATAGACAACACATCATCTAATGCACATGGCCATGGCTTTTTCACTTAAGTTTCTGAGCTTACAAATCCTAAGACACAGTGCGGTCTCAAGTATTCAGTACCTTGCTTTTTCTCTTGATAAAATGGTTTAATATTATTTTGGAGCCTAACAATCCTAACAGTAGTGTTGTGATAGTTAGCCCTGAGACAATATGGCCACTACTTGAAAGCCTGATGGCAGCCATGAGCACTATTACGAGCTGAGTGGCTGTGTTCCTTCAACAAAGGTCCACACATTCTGAACGCAAGCATGCTTTGATTACAAACACCAATTTTTAATTCTCAGGACACAAGCTGCAAAGCAAAATGTAACCGCTTTTGCTGTACTAATGAACCAGTTTGCTAAGTCTTGTGTGTTATACCTAGCTTTCCTGAAAGATTGAGATCTACATGAATCCAGAACTACTGCAAACATATAAAGTTCAAACTTGGAAAGCTTTTCACAATACTACATTCAAGTTGCACAGGAGACCCCAGTGATCACTAGGAAATCTACCACAGTCCAGTTTTTCCAACCCAATAAGGTCTAAACTTTGGGGAATAAGGCGGCCCTCCGCTGCTCTGAAAAATATTCGATCAAAGCGATGCTTACAAGCATAAGGAATCCCAAGATTAGTATTTATTCTTGTATCCCATGTATACTGGCAATGCTTAGGTTTGCCCAAAAATTCCCAGGCATCAAAAACATTGGCAGGTAAACCACCACATTTGATAACCTGGAAAAGAGAAAGAACACCATGTAAGATTCATATATTCACACACACCCCACTTTAAAATGTGTTTAATATTATCAACTATAATGCAACTTTTTATTTTATTTTTAATATTTTTGGGTTTTTTGAGAACACACTATGTACACCAGACTGGTACTGAACTCAGAGATCCACCTGACTCTATTTTCCAGGTGCTGGGATTAAAGGCATGTACTACTATGCCTAAAAATTACATTTTAAAAAATAATAAAAAACATAAACAAACCAAACTCTAATAATACTGTTTTTCTTTCCCATGCACATTACACGATTTACAATTTTATGGCTGGTACGAAGGATAGCAGTCAACTACAGTGTTAGCATTAGTGACACATCAGGTTCAATCTCCATCAACACAAAAAGTTTCTACATGTGGTAGAGAACACACACCTGACCACTTCAATCATTCTTTCAGTTCCAGCCTAGGGACCCACATGGTGGAAAGAGAGAACCAAGTCTCAAAAGTTCTGCTCTGACTACCATGTACACATTCAAAATGAAATTCTAATAACTTTTTATCTGAAAAAAATCTAAATATACAGTATACAACTTAGAATAAAAAAAAATCCTAGAGGTATAGGTCAGCAGTGTTGCCTAGCATGTAGGAGGCCCTAGGTTGTATAAACAAATACAAGTTTCAAAACAGTTTCAACTCAGAAGAGAATTAGGTCTCCTTAATCTAGGGAGGCTACAAATACCCTAAATCTTTTTAAAGCTCTTCTAATTATTATTTTATTGATACTTTTCCAACATATTTATTGCGTTACATTGCCTGTAGCACATGTAGTAAGATTTCCCTTAATAGAGTAAAGGCCTCTTTTTATATAAAAACTACAACAGTGTTTTGTACCGTGTATTTCCAAATCCATACCTTTGATAAAGCAAACCAAGTTAGTTTCCACAACAACAGTCTCCCCACAAACAGTGAACCAACTCTTTTACTCACTTCTCTATCTCTTAAATTTGTATCTCCTGCAAATAGAACAGTAGTTGAATCTGGAACTTCTTGCATTTTCTGAAAAACCGTTTTTAATTGACTCATTCGTTCAGCAGAATATTTTCCGGTGCTCTCCAAATGGGACGTCATAAGGCAGAATTCATTTCCACCCACACTCACCTACAACAGGATAATTACAATTCAGTAGGCCACCGACCTCTGCTCCGCTAACAGCAAACTAGTCAATCTGCTGGGATTTAGTTACTCAACTGAAACAATACAGTCAGCACAATCCTAGATGAAAAGAAGTACAAGGTGCCAACCCTACCCATGACAACTATTTAGGAAGCAAGAACTAGTCACAAAGTACCTCTACTGAGTCCTTCCCTGGAACCCAGGCCATCGATGGCTCACACCTCTCCAGAACGCTACTACAAGACTAATATAAAAGGTCCCAAGCTGAAATAAAAGGACAGCTATAGATTTCCCCCTTCCATGAAGCCATGAATTGCTTACCTGCAAGCACAGATAGTTCTTATTTATTGCTCTGTTAATCGCCTGACACAGATACTCAAAATCATTTGCAATTAAGATACTAGTAAGATTGTGTTACAATGCCTACAGAATCATCCAAGCTCTTGACATACTCAACTACCTCTTCATACTCAGGATGGCTAATATTGACTCTCAGCTCTGCAGGATCTCAAATCACCTAGAAGGAAATCTCTGGAAATGTCTGAGGAATATTCCAGATTAGGTTATTTAAGCTGGAAAGACCACCCTAAATGTAAGGGGCACCAGTGTGAGATGGGCCCCACACTGACAAAGGGGAAACCGAGCTGAACACTAACAGTCACTGCTCTGCTTTCTGACCATGGACAACGTAACCAGCCGCTCCTGCCTTGCGCACTCCACATGGCATCAGTATCCTCAAACTATGAGCCAAAGTTAAGCCTACTTTTCTAGGCTGCTTTTCTCAAGCATTGTCACATTAACGAGAAAAACAGCAGTGTCCATCACCCTAACGGAAACATAAAGCTCATTCACACCCACAGGTAAACCCTTGCTGAAACTTGCAAAGATCTGTCAGGGGTGTTTGCATTCATAGACTGGTGAAAAAGAGAGGGGTGAGGGAACAAGCAAGCTGAGTACCACGTTTCTCCAACTCCTCACTCCAAACCAACAGGACTGGCTGCTTCACACTCTCACCAGCAGGCCTTCCCTCCAGCATGAGCCAAAGTGCTAGTGTTCCTTAGAGCTATGTGCTGTGCTCATCTTCCTCACTGCTCTAAGAAATAATTTGACAAATGTTCTCCTTGGCCAATGCTGCAATACTCGTTTTCTTTTCTTTTTTTAAAATATTTATTTATTTATTATGTATGCAAAATTCTTGTGTATGCCTGCAGGCCAGAAGAAAGCACCAGACCTCATTACAGATGGTTGTGAGTCACCGTGTGGTTGCTAGGAATTGAACTCAGGACCTTTGGAAGACCAGGCAATGCTCTAACCACTGAGCCATCTCTCCAGCCCCTGCTGCAATACTCTTAAGAAAACATATGATCAGTTCAGAATCTAACTTTGTTGAATTTCCTTGTATCTAAAATTATGTGGGAATCCAAGTTTTCTAAGACTATTTAAAATATATATAATATAATGAGCTGGCCCAGTGGGTAAATCACTTGCTTCACAAAACCAATAGCCTGAGATGGATACACAGAATCACAGTGGGAGGAGAAAACTGACTCCCAAAAGCTGTCTTCTGACCTCCAGACCCACACTTACAGACAGACATACACAACAGGACTTAAAGAACTGTCCCAGTGATATGGCTAAGCAGGCTGAGTTTGATCCCTGAAACCTGTGGTAGGAGAGACCTGAGTCCCCAAAGTCCTGACATACCACTGACACACTTACACGAATACTAAAAAGACTATCTATGTAAGGAATAAATTTAACTGTAAGGGCAATTCCTTCAAAAACACAAACAAGAAACCCACCTCCTAAAACTTAAACTTACGTTCACACACAGAAGGTTTCTCATCATCTTAGTATTTGGAAATGGAACAATCTCTTGACTTTTAAATTTCACTCTTCCTTTCTTCAACAGTATAGCTGTGAAATATCCTTCTTCATTACCTTCAAACATTTAGGGAAAAGAATTTAGGAAAGGTCAGGAGTATCTTCACTTTACCACCCCTACTGTTACAAGAAGCAACATTATTTAAATAGGATCAAATCCTTGCGATTCCATTTGAAGTAGGTGAACCAAGTGAATATTTTCTGTCCCTCATCAAAGTTTAACCAGAGACACAAATGATATTTAAATAAGAATAAGATAGGATAGCATATGCCTCCATAGTATAATCTTTGTGTGAGCACAAGTTACATACCCATTAGGGACAAAGAAGGGTAGAGAAAAGGAAGCATGGGTAAGGAAAAAGGTGTATAGGTGCCAAAATTAATTAGCTGTTGCCTGTTGAAACTGAGAATATTTAAAATCTAGAAGCTCACAAAAAGAATAGGAACAAAAGACCAGCGAATCAAAGTGTCCAGCTTTTTTTTTAAACGACAGAAAGCAAGTTGGTAGGAGTGTTCAACCAAAGTCTGGTAAATACTGAAACAAAAATCACCACCAAGGCAAGAGCCTGGTCTGGATACAGAACAAACATGCTTGAATGTCTTCCCTTGTTCCTCATAGCCCAGTAACTACATTTTTCTTAAATTAAGTTTTAGAGGCTCTACCAATTGTATCAAACCTGCAACCCCAGGCCATGTGAGTCCCAGGAGAGCTATAAATGCCGCCCAATACATTCGTAGACGACATATTTCAATACATAAACTCTGAATATATCCCACCACCTGCTGCTCAGCAGTTTCCCACAGAGAAAAAGAATGAGTTGCAGTACTCAGTTCAGTGCCCCATGCCCGACTTAGGAAGTATTTTTTAGCAACAAGAATGGCTCAGATTGAAGACATAAATTTGATGCACCACAACTAGAAATCTCTCCAGTACAGAACAAGCCATTTGACTATACAAAAATTTACTTCCTATTAGTAAAATGCAGGGTTTAGCCTCTCTCTTAGCAGGAATTCAAATGTGAACCAAGAGGCAAGAATCCGTACACATAAAGGAGCAGGTTTATGTGACATAAAAATACCAACGTAATACAACTAAAGGGAACAAAAGAGAGAAATGAGGCTGGGTGTGGTGGTGGACTCATGCAATCCTAGCACTCGGAGGAAGGAGGCAGGAAGATCTCCAAGTTCAGGAACACAGGGAGCTTCTCAGAAGGAAGAAAAGAAAGAACATCACAAAAACACGGTGGACTGCCTTCTGATAGATTCCAAAATCAAAATATCCTCATAAATACTGCACACTGTCAAACCAGAATCATGTCTTCAGGAATTCACTCATAACTCCTCCTGTAATCAAAGAAATACAGCAGGGGCTGGAGAGATGCTCAACAGTTAGGAGTATGGGCTGCTCTTCTAGAGGAACAGAAGATCATGGTAGCTCTCAACCATCTGTATTTCAAGTTCAGGGGATCCAACAACCTCTTCTGCCTTCCATGGACACAAGGCACACATGCGGTGCACAGGTGTACATGCATGCATACATATATAGAGAAGAACATCTATACACATAATAAAGAAGTGTGGCTCACCAAATCAAAGACATGAAAACTTAAAATAGAAAAACAAAGCAGTGTATTGACAGAAGATACTGCATCCATAAACCAAGTGCACATGCCATAACCTGTAAATAAGTGGCCTAAGAAATATGAAAAATTATGGAAAATAAAGGATTAGTGGTGTTTTACAACATAAGGGGACTTTCAAAAAGGTGAAAGGGGAAAAAAAAAGGAGGAGGAAGAGAAGCATAGGGGATGGTAGGAAAATTCGATGAAGATTGAGGAAAGGGGAAATGGGGATCTCCCAAACCTCCAACCAAACCCTCCAACAAATCATCTGGTAGAATAAATGAAGAAACAGTAGAAAGAACACCAGGGATAAAGCAGAGATCCTCAAACTTACTGAGAATGGAGACAGGAATGGGCAGTATCATACTGGCAGCTGACTGACCATTCTCAGAAACCAAAGTCACTGAATCAATGCTTCCAAATTCAGAAAACATTGCTTATGACCTAGAAACTTATATCCACTCAACTAACTACGAGGCTACAATACAGGTATTTTCAAATATGGTAAAATTAAAAATATAAAATCAAACAAACAAAAAAACAAAAAACCACTCTACTACTTATGTGCTTATCAAAGCAGGAAATGGCTCTAGCTGGGTGGGTGTGGTGGTACACACCTTTAACCTTTAATCCCAGCACAGAGAGAGAGAGAGAGAGAGAGAGAGAGAGAGAGAGAGAGACAGAGAGGGGGGGGAATGCTTGGTGAGTTACAGACCTGCTTGGTCTACATAGTGAGACCCTGTCTCGAGGGAAAAAAATAAAGGCTGTGATGAAATGAGAGAAAAAAGAGGAGAGAAGCGTAGGATGCAGAATACAAAATCCAAAATAAGAGGCAGAAAGAATCCCAAAGAGCATTCGTCCAAGAAATCCAACAAAGAGGGGGCAACAAATACCAAGAGCTCTCTCCTTAGCACCTAGGTATCAAGTATAAACAAAATTAAAAACCAAAGACTATGTAAAATTGAAAGTCAATAATATTCAGTTTAGAAATTATAAGTTGTGGTCTGCTATAGCAAACATAAGTAGCAAAGCCAAAATGAGAGAAAAACTAAAATTATACTGGAAAAGGAACAAAATAAATAAAAGGAATTGAAGAATTTTGAGAAAATATGAACAAAATGTAATTATCACATATAAAATTTGTAACTGAGAGGGGTATGTTTACGTAGCAAGGCAGCAGAGCTGTATTTGCCATATATAAAACCCTGAGAAGAAACAGAAACAAATGGAATTTCTACCAATTCAATTTTACTAAATACACAAGAATGAAACTTTAAAACTTTATTTTCCTAAAAACAAAATATTCATCTAATCTACATGGGAAGTAGAAAAAGACAAGATCTCCTGAGTAAATAGGGAGAATGGGATCAGGGAAGAGGGCAGAAGAGGAGGGAGAAAGGTGGGGAGCAGAGAACAATATATAGCTCAAATAAAAAAAATTCTTAAAAGAAATATTCATTTCTATCGTTTTTCCATTTATTAACATTAAGCTATAAAATAATCTATAAATCTTTAAAATAAATCATGTGTCTTGCTTATTTTCCTCAATTGATCTATTTTTCAAATAAAAAAGGCAATTCAGATGGCAAGAGAAGCATTCATTACCTGTAATAATTTTGTAGCCTCTTGCTCTCTTCTTTAGGTAGGCCCAATATGGAAGAATAAGTTCCTGTAGAAATACCACATCTGGACTGTACCTAATTTAAAAGATCAATTTAACAAAAATATGAGTATCCTATTTTCAGTTACCTAGAAAAATCACAAAACATATAAGCAACAGTTACCCTATAATACCTGAAGTTCTCAATGCTATACTGACCTTTATCTGTGTTATTTACCACACAATACCATAGTGACCAATTTAAAAATGGGCTGGATGTGTAGCTCAGGGACAGAACACCTGCCTAACAAGGCTGAGTTCAATTCCAGCACCCCTCTACATATTACCCCAGTGGAATTAAAATGGAAAGCATTATATACACTACACTGAGAGTTTTCAATGATCATATACATCAACACATGTATTCAAAGTTCCCTCTTCAGATTCTCTTAAAAAGTTGTACAGCGAGAACTTCAGTGCTTTACCAAGGCCAGAAACAGATAGTTAGGGTACCTTTCATTTCATATCAGTAATTACAGACAAAACTTACTATGTAAAGCTCACAACTCTAGAACGCATCTAACATAAATTGGTGTTCCAATCCACCCCAACTCTCAGGTATTTATTCTGAGATGACCCTAAAGTCAAATTTTCAAGTACACAAATTTCAAGTGTTGCTTTGTAGAGCCATTAGCACACTGATCACAGTCACTACCACAGAAGTGACAATACTTACAAAGCTAGGGAGGAACACACCCCTCGAGCCCTCTCTGGCAAATTGTTTCTATCTAATCCATCAATATTCCAGGTAATGAAAGAGATAATGCTGTTGTCTTTTAGAGGAGTTCCAGATGGACTGGTTTCTAAAATGGTGGTATCATCAAAATCCTCGTTGGTTAGATTAACACTGGAAAGAACAAAATTGCAAAAAACAAATTGCAAATTGTTGTACTTAGAGGCTATGGCAGTAACTCAGCTGGCACCCCCACTCACATTAAACACTGGAAGTTGTGGCATGCTTATAACTCAACACCAAGAGGCTGAGAACAACAGATACCTGAGACCTGGTTTACCCTAAAGGATGAGTCCATGGTCCCAGTGGGAGACTGTCTCAAGAAACAAGGAGCACTACTCCTCAAGAACCCAAATCTGACTTCTGGCTTCCAACGTGCCCTCTCAACATGAATCTTGCTGTATCTGTTGCCCTCAATTTGAAGAAACAGACTGATCATTCCTAATTAGAAAAATCCATATTCTAAATTACCTCAGCTCAGATTTTGGCCCCAAGCACTTGAGATAATGGATACTTATCCTATAACTAATTTTCTTTGACAAATCCTAAGAGTCTATTGAAAATACACAGTTGGGCTGGAGATGGAGCTCAGTGGGTAAAGGTGCTTGCTGTCAGCCTAGTGGCCTGAGTTCAACCTCCAGAACCCACATGATGGGGACAGCTGCAAGTTGTCTCTGCGTCCACGTGCTGGCTTGTGTGTCTGTCCCTGGAGGGAACAATTTCTTCCAGAGTGAGATGTTTCAAAAGCTTGACCATGATCACTTTGGCTTCTTGTTTCATAATGATCCACCTGCAAGCATACTACATGCGCATGGCCACAAGTAACGGCTTTCTTCAAAGCAGTCAGCTTCAAGAACTTGGATAACTTTTGATTCTTACAACAGTTATCTACTTTTAAAACTGAAAAGCAATAAAAAAGAATCCCTATCCAACTATGCACCCAAATTCTCTAAAGTTGTGTTCTTATTAACAATTTCTTACGTTAGTCTCTTTCCATCCTTTGCTTGAGATTTGCTTATATACACCCCCTACAACCTATGGACATTACCACCAATATATCATCTTTTAATATCTTTTAACTGGAACATTTCTTTAGTCTCTCTCATGAGTGACATTTTTGAAGATTGTCGGCCACTTATCCTATAGAACATCCTCCAGTTAAGCTTGATATTTTCTTACAACTCTATAAAGGTTATGCACTTTGAGGCAGGAATGACAGCATAATCGTGTGTCCCAATGCATGATTAAGGAGTCAATCAAATTTCCCCACTGCAAAGTACTGATCCTCCCCACTTTCTACTCAGTACTTTGTGGGTTTTGACTCTGAGCATCTTGTTTAAATGATTCTACTTTCATCCCCATTTTATTATCCATTGATTGTACTTATGTGAAAGTTATTTTGTAGTTCTCAAAGGCTTTTTGTAACTCCTCAAACCTTGGCCATTTAGCAGTTTGAATTCTACAATAGTCATTTGTCTTATCAACAGCTGGGACTTACTTAAATATGGACTCCTATTTTATTGTGCAGACTACAACTTGTTTCTAATTACCCCACTGTTCATTCTCTCTGCTTTTACATTGGTTCCTATGTTTTTCTGGGATATTTCCAATGTTTTCTGGGCACCCCCTTACTTTTTAGCACTGTAGATTATTCCAAGTTCATCCTCTACCTCACTTACTCCTGCTCTAGAATCAGTCATCTTCTCCTTTTTAGTGAAGAATAATTAGAGGCCAAGGTCTTGGTGCTAGGATAATTCAATGCCAATATAAACAGTAACAACAGCCTCTTTGAGACAGGGTCTCACAATGTATACCTGCTGACTTCAAAATTAATAAATCTCCTTCAACATCTGAGTACATGCCCAGGCTACACCCCGAAGTCACCATGTAGCCCAAGCTAGTCTCAAACCCTTGGCAATCCTAATCCTGCCTCAGCTTCCCAAGTAGCATATACTATCACATCCAGATTGAATTACCTTCTGTGTTGCAAGGAACTGCATGCTTGTCCTGGCTGCCCAGAACCAAAATAATGACACAGAAATTGCATTAATTAAATCACTGCTTGGCACATTAGCTCTAACTTCTTATTGGCTAATGCTTACATATTAATTTAACCCATCTCCATTAATCTTGTATCACCATGAGGTCATGGCCTACCAGGAAAGTTTCAACAGGTCTGTCTCCGACTGAGGATCCATGGCGTCTCTCCAACTTTGCCCTTCTTTCTCCCAGCATTCAGTCCAGTCCTCCACGCCTACCTCGGTTCTTCCCTATCAACGGGCCAAGGCAGTTTCGTTATTCATTAACCAAGAAAATCAACACACAGACAGAAGGGCCTCCAACACCATTTTCCCTTTTCCCTAAGTTTTGCTCTATCAACAGACCAAGGCAGTTTCTTTATTCATTAAACAAGAAGAGCAACACACAGACAGAAAGACCTCCCACACCACTTCTGTATGCACAAAAATAATTTTAATTAGTTAATTAATTTGATTTTGGATTTTTGAGACAGGGTTTCTCTGTGTACTAGTTCTAACTTTCCAGAAACCTAATTCTGGAGACCAGGTTGGCCTTAAACTCACAGAGATATGCATGCTTTGTCCGGTCAAAAATAATTTTAAAGAGCAACAAAAAACTGTGTTTAATGCCAGATTCCATTTGGAGTTTTACCCATCTGAAAAAGCTTTCTCATTCAACATTCAATACTACACTTTTTCTGTAGCCTTGCCAAAGAGAAAGGGCTAGGTCATTTCAGAACCTTGTCAAAGATGTTAGGCCCCCCATTTCTATTGAATACATGCGACTGAAGTGTTCCTAAGTACATGATGGCTCAGTACTTAGGAACACTTGTTCTTGCAGAGGGCTTGGGTTCAGTTCCTAGAACTGTGTTGCTTTTAACTAAGTATCTATCGCTCTACTTTATTAATAAAGACTCAGGAGCCAGATGCTGGGGTGAAAAACCTGCTAGCTCAGAGAAACAGAGAAAGCACCCAGATGTTTCCTCCCAGTCTTCCCAGACTTTCTCTTATGCCATCTGAGAGAAAAAAAAAATAACTCCTCCAATGGGAGTATCCCCATTTTTACTTCCTCACTACCTCCTGACTTCCTCCCACTGGCTTTTTCCTGGCAACTGATTGCTTGCTCCTATGGTTGATTTTATTTAACCCTGTTTTAATATTCAAGCAGAAAATCTCTTGGATTAAAGGTGTGTGCTAGGGCTGAGCCACATCATAGCTAAACACAAGTTCTTCCAGTAAACAAAGAAATCTCAGGGGTCATAGTGTGATCAAATATCCTACAACAGAACTATAATCAAGGGTGACTCATAACTGTCTATAAACCAGTTTCAAGGGTTGAGATGGCCTCTTTTGGCCCCTGTGGGCACCTGAATAAAACCAAGCTTGTTCAGTGTGCACATGTGCACGCACACACACCCCTTTAAAAACAAAAGCATTAAAAGCAGGATCACACACGTGTCAATTTTTCCATAATCTGCACTTCAAAATTCAAATAGTATGCTGTTTGTGGTGTGGGAGAATTATCTGTATTCTGTCAATCATCTATTTTAATAAAATGCTGATTGGCCAGGCAGGAAGTATAGGCAGGAAAACCAGACAGGAAGTAGAGATGGAAAAAAGAGAACAGGAGTATTCTGGGAAGCAGGAAGCTCCCATTCCCATTCCAACCCAGACCACCAAGAAGTGTTGAAATAGGAGCGGCGGGGCTGTGTCCCCCTCACCCGGCCACCCCCATGGCTAGCTTTACCCGAAATAATTACACAGAAACTGTATTCTTTTAAACACCGCTTGGCCCATTTCTATCTAGCCTCTTCTAGGCTAACTCTCGCACCTGGACTAGCCCATTTCTAATATTCTATGTAGCAAGCTAGGTGCGCTTACTGGGAAGATTCTAGCCTACGTCCATCCTAGCCATCGCCTGTGTCTGGCCAGGAGCCGGGAGCATGGCGACTCTCTGAGGCATCTGCCCCCCAAGAGAAGAGCTGTCGAGTCTCTGAGCTCACTTCCTCTTCCTCCCAGCATTCTGTTCTGTTTTCCCCACCCACCTATGTTCTAAGCTATAAGGCCAAGCAGTTTGTTTATTAACCAATGAAATCAACAGATTGATATATGACACTCCCACATCAAAAAAGCAAGATGTAATCTGCCCCGCTGAAAGGTACTGAGCCATGTGGCTAACATAGATAAGAACAATGGGTTAATATAAGCTATAAAAGTTAACAAGAAGCCTGAGCTAATGGTCCAATCAGTTTTATAACTTATGAAGATCTCTGTGTGATTTTCTTTGGGGCTTGCCGGCTGTGGGGTATTGGGCAGGACAGAAACCCCAACAAGCAGGCCCTCCATGTTACAAGTCTGTTCTTCCATTTTACTATAACATAGTTTTGTGCCTGCAATTTATGCAGCATCTATAACATGTAAGTAAAAATTATGAGAAATGAATTCCATTCCAAAAATAAAACACAAAACGGAAAAAAACACTCTAAATAGAATGCTGAATTAAAAACCTTTAAGTATCTGAAAGGCCTAGTCAGCCTTACAGGCATCATTTGTTGACCTCTTCAACACAGGAATAAATGTATCTGTCACTGATACCTTGGGCTCTATGCTCTAATTCAGGGCTCCTCAACTTTAAACAACCAGAAATCTTGACAAAAAGCAGATTCAGATTCAATGGATCTAGTATTGGAGTCTAAATCTGCATGTCCACCAGAATCCCAAATGGTGGAATGTAGCTCACTCAGGGTCCATATTCTAAGTAATAAGGCTATAGGATACAACCTTTTACTCCTAACTCTTTAGATCTTTTCAAGACAGAAAAGGTCACAGGTTTGAATATGGCTCAGGTGTCAAAAGTGTGAGCCACACAAGTCTGACAGGCCATTTAAGAAATCCTCCCTCTGCCGGGCAATGGTGGCGCACGCCTTTAATCCCAGCACTCAGGAGGCAGAGGCAGGCAGATCTCTGTGAGTTCGAGACCAGACTGGTCTACAGAGCTAGTTCCAGGACAGGCTCCAAAGCCACAGCAAAACCCTGTCTCGAAAAACCAAAAAAAAAAAAAAAAAAGAAATCCTCCCTCCAATAGGATGCAGACTCCCAGAAGTTCTCTAACTTACACACAGTGGCACTCACTCATGCACACAAACAATTAAGGAGAGGGGAAAGGGCCAAAAAGTCACTAATGGATGACTGGACTCCACGCATTTATTATCTCTGGGAAGTGGGGTCCCAGCATTTTTTAAAAAAAATCTCTCCAATAATTTCAGCACAACTGTTTTATGAGGATTTCCCATCTCCTTTCACATGGACAGTAAATTCCCCTGTAAGGGACTTTAGCTGTAGTCTTCAGAAAGCAGCACAAAACTGGAGTCAGAGCACTGAAACAATAGGAACAGCATATACTGAAAATGAGTACTGAGCCTGGTATGGATTCTTCTAGTACCCCAGAGGACGAGGCAGGAGGATTGCCAGAACCCCAATGCCAGCCTGGACTACACACTATGTTCTAGATGAACTTGTGAGATCCTGTCTCAAAGAAATAAACAGAACTACTGCTTGCCGGCAAGAGAGCAGATAAACAGTGCAGAAACAAAGAGACCTGCAGGTTACCATTCTTCTTAGAGATTTTCTACCTCAACTGTTTTCTAAATCTCTAGTTTACCTGTCACAATAGTTCAGGTGAGTTAAGTGTATTTCAATACTGATCAGTGTTTCACAAACCTTTAACCCCACTCTGGGGAAGTGGCAGGCAGAAGTCGAGCCTTGACCACAGGAGTCCCAAGTCAGCCTGGGCATGTGTCTCAAATAATAAATTACATTTCAGCTGGGGGATGCTGGAACTAGATGTAATGCTAGCAAAAGGGGGGCTGGAACAGGGGAGTCAAGAGCTGGAGGTCAGGTATAATGTCTCAAAAAAGAACAAATAACAGTAACAATAAGTAAATATTTCATCCTGTGTGGTGGACACTTTAATCCCAATCCTTTCAAATCTGAGGTAAGTAGATCTCTGTGTTTGAGGTCAGCCTGTTCTAAATACCAAGTTCTGAGCAGCCAGAGATACGGGAAGGGGGGTGGGGACTCTGCCTCTAAATAAATAAAAATAATTTACATTTCAAAGTTTTCTTTCCCTCCTCCATTGACTAAGAAAAAAAAATCACGTCAGAAGTCAATCGTGGTACAAGCGTTTAAACCCAGCTACTAAGGGGGGCAGAAGCAGGCGGATCACTTAGTTTGAGGCTTGTCTGGGCCATAGAGCAAATTCCAGGAGAGTCAGGGCTATACAATAAACAAACAAGCCAAAATAAACAAGTCACGTTGGAAGTGAGTTCCTGGGAGAAAAGGCTTCCCTGTGATGCTCAGCCCAAGGGCATCGGCTTCCTTTTCCAGGTAGGGTCTTCTGATGGCCAATGCGGGCCCCAAGCAAACCGCCCACGTCCCCCGTTGCTTACTAGGCCTCTGATAGGAAGGATGTCAGAGGCTGGTCTGGTCATGCTGGTCGTTCTCTGGCTGCTCGAAGTAGGGGCTCAGGCTTTCTGAAAAGCAAAGGCACACGGACTGAGGGCAAGCTCCGCCCACCTGGGAAGAGGGGAGAAAACAAATGCTTCTGGACACCATCAGCACAGCATCTCCCCAGGCGATCTGCTCCTCACACTGCTTCCTGCTTGACTGGGGAAAACAAATGCTGGGCTCAGTGCAGGAGAGCTGCAGCGCAAGCTGTCTACCTTCCCGGCTGACTCCCTCTGGGGTCTTTTGTGAGTCTGCACAGCAAGCAAGGGTAGGCAAGAGTGCAGGAGGTGGGGTCAGGCAGAGCAGGGTGACTGTGAGTGTGTGCTGGAGCCCTAGCCGTTATAAAGCCCAAGTGCCCAGGCTGCGAGGACTCTTAAACCAGGGCACGCCACACCGCCGATCTTGCGGGCTTGACCTTCTACGTCTTTGTCCTTTCGCAAGCATCTCTTCCAGAGTTTGTTATCCCAGAGCCCAGAATCTAGAGTTGCATCCACGTGAGCAGCTTGACCCAGAATCTACAGGAAGTCATGAAGGTCATGTTGAGCTCCCAGTTTCGATAGTAATGGAAAAGGTATTATTGGCAAAGCCTCTGGTGGAGAGGACGAATCTAATAAAACACCGAGTTAGATTCTGTTTGGTGGAGTGTCTTGTGGCCTCTCAAATACCCAAGAGTGCATGGATTCTCATCTAACCGGAAATAAGCATGACTTTGACAACCGTAGAGACGGGTTTGGTCCACTGGAGTGAGCCAAGAAAAAAGTCTGTGTACAGTCATTTAAGGGACACTGGAGTACAGGACGAGTGTGTAGGGATTGTTTGTTTTAAAGCACAAAAGCGAAGTACGCTTGAGGTACAGAAGTGAAGGACGGACAACTTGTTCCTATGTTGTGTTTCTGCGTTTTGAGACTGGGTCTTACTCTGTAACACAGGTTGATAAATATTTTGATTCATGAACGTCTGCATTTTACGATTAAGAAAGAATGCTTGGAAATTTGGAAAGAATTTGGGTGTGAGATTTAAATACTGATTAGCTACAGGTATTTGAAATCTTCCTCCTTGAACACTCCCCTCGCTGGTTTTTTTTAACGATGTACATAATGTATCAAGGCTTTTGTCAAAAATAGGAAATAACACTTAAGTGGGCATATTTAATGTTTTCAAATAAGAAATATCTAAAGTCCAAAGACATCATTTGACAGTGACTTTTGGAAACATAATATTATCCAAGAAAGAATGTATTTATCTAAGAATAAATTTGAATTATTTTTTCTTAAATCTGCTGTGAGAATGGGTAAAACGATCTGGCACAAGCGAGAAGAGAACATGAAACATGAACAAACCCACTTGGGAGTTTATTAGAGGGGAAAGTACACACAAGTCTGGGAATGGTGTACTGAGAGAGAGCAAAGATGGTGCTTCCAGCTTTTAAAGGCTGCCTAGCACATGCACACAGGGGGAAGATGTGACTAGATCACACGCTGATGACGGGTGACCCACGCCTTGTTCATGAGCACAGGAGGAAGACATGGCTATGTCACACACTGATGATGGGCGACCTGGAAATGCAGCCTTATGGGTGGTTCAATAATTACATTCAACCCTTTTGTTTATTATAAAAAATTTAGTGGGGGCTGGAGAGATGGCTCAGTGGTTAAGAGCATTGCCTGCTCTTCCAAAGGTCCTGAGTTCAATTCCCAGCAACCACATGGTGGCTCACAACCATCTGTAATTAGATCTGGTGCCCTCTTCTGGCCTGCAGGCATAAACACAGACAGAATATTGTATACATAATAAGTAAATAAATAAATATTTAAAAAAAATTTAGTGGTTTGAAGATCTCAATGGATGGGAATGGGGCGTTGTAAGGTCTCTCATGACTGCTTCATGCTGACTTTGTGGGTGTCGAAGAATCGGGATGTTTGACCACGTCCTTGGGTGATGATTACTGCTGTATTTTCCAGGCTCTGAGGAACTGGTCGGCAGTTTTATGAGGCAGCTTGGACCTCATAAAATGCTGGAAAGGCAAAAATTATGTTTGGAAAAAATTTTAGATCCTAGAGTGATGGAGGAGTTAATTTCATTGGTTAATAAAGAAACCGCCTTGGCCTATTTGATAGGCCAGCCCTTAGGTGGGTGGAGTAGACAGAACAGAATGCTGGGAGGAAGTCAGGCAATCGCCATGCCTCTCCTCTCTGGGTCAGATGTGATGGACCCAGCTGCCAGGTCAGACATGCTGAATCTTTCCCGGTAATACACCACTTCTTGGTGCTACACAGATTACTAAATATGGGCTAAGCAAAATATGAGAATTAGCCAATAAGAGGCTGAAACTAATGGGCCAGGCAGTGTTTAAAAGAATACAGTTTGTGTGTTATTATTTCGGGTGTAAAGCTAACCATGTGGGGGCTGGGCGGGATGAAAAGCAGGCCTGCCCGCAGCTCCATCTACACTAGAGATTAACAGAGGAGAGTTCCCAAGATAGAAGATAGAGGGGTTTTTTTCCCCAGGGGTTCCCGAGACCAGGAATGACAAGGAAAGAATTAAATGATACTTAATCCAGGCGAGTCTGGTCTGTTTAGGTGGGTCCAATTGGCTCCCTGGAGCTTAACATCCAGAAAACACTGCTGCAGTCAATGATAAAACCTGTTATGTTAAAGTTTGTTTTGTAAGTTTTTGGAGTTTCGGGCTATAAACTCATTATTGTTTCTTACCGCCTGGGCTTTTGACACTCCTTGTATCTCCGGCTCTATGTTTAATGATGGTTCCTGTAATAACAGCTGGGTGGTTAACTAGAAATTTAAGAATGACATTGAACGCATATAGGAGAAAGAAGAAAAGGGAGAGTATATGGAGTTTTGGGCACAAGAGAGTTGAGTAAGGATGAGACTTTTATTTTTTTTGGAACTGGAGAAAGAGTGGCTGATCCTGGTGTCCTCTGGAACTTAAGGGAACAGGGCCCTGTTCGAGTTACTGTATAAGAGGGGGTATCTTGAGCTGAAAGGGTAAAAGGTTTAAGATGCGACAGGTGAATTCAATGAGGAAGTCCCTAGGTTTTGGCAGCTGTGGGAGTTACAAGAATTACTTTAAAGGGGCCCTGCCATTTAGGAGAAAGGGGTGAGGGGCATTGGTCTGGGGGAGAAAATAACACCTGATCCCCTATTTTAATCGGTAGTGGGCATGAATTAACATGGTTGAGGTAATGAGTGATCGGTGAAATCCCATAATAGGGAGCGTAGATGGGATAACAATGGAGTAAGCAGGTGATCAGGAAGGGGAGAGGATTTATGTGAGAGGCCGGAGGTTAAAACTGGTTGCCCATACATGAGTTCAAAGGGCGAGATAAAAAGGGGGCTTTTGGGGAGAGCCCTAAGCCTTAGTAGGGCCAGAGGCAAAAGTTTTACCCAGTCAAAGTGAAGTTCCTGTGACATTTTAACAAGAACGTTTTTTAAGGATCAGTTAATTTGTTCTACCTTCCCTGAAGACTGAGGGTGGTATGGGATATGAAAATGCCAAGGGATGTTAAGAGCCTTGGACAAGTTTTGGGAAATCTGGGAAGTGAACTCAGGGCCATTATCTGACTGCAGAGAGGTTGGAATTCCAAATCAGAGGATGATTTCTCGGAGAAGACCATCAGAAACTGTCTGGGTCTTCTTATTAGTGGTGGGAAATGCTTCAGTCCACCCAGACATTGTATCCACCAAGACCAGGAGATATTTAACTCTTCTGACCATGGGCATATGAGTAAAATCTAGCTGCCAGTCAGTTCCTGGAAGGGAGCCTTTGGCCTGGTGGGTGAGTAAAGGGTAGCTACAGTATTTGGTCTTGGGATCTGACTTTTGACAGATTTGACAAGAGGCAGTGATAGCTTTTAAAAACTTTAAGTCCTCAGGGGTGGGTTGGAGATGAGCTTTAACAAAATGAAACAGAGCTTTGCTATTAGGATGAAAGAGCTGATGTAGGTAGGACAGAATTTGCTGGGTGTCAGAGAGTGTCTGTGAGAATGTGTGCTGTACTATATGCACCCCCTGAGGTGACTGAGGTAGGTTTGGGATCTGGAATGCTGCTGTTTTAGCTGCTCGGTCAGGCCAGTTATTTCCCTTGGAAATAATGGAACTGTCAGTCTGATGAGTCCGACAGTGAATAATTCCTATAGCTTTGGGGAGATGGGAGGCTTTTAACAGGTACATAATGTAACCTAAGTTAATTATGGCATTTCTCACATGGTACACCTTAAAAGCCAACTCTAGGATTTCTGCCTGCGGAGTCAAGGGGCCTTTCTCCAAACATCTAAGCTTAGCCCTAATGTCAGAGTAGCACTGATTTAAAAAATGGGTCATGAGTAACTGTCTGCCTTCTGTAGTTTCTGGATCTAAGTTAGTATACTGTAGCAGAGCTTTTGTGAGGCGTTCCAAAAATGCAGAAGGATTTTCCTTTGTATCCTTTTTATTTATTTATTTATTTATTTATTATGTATACAATATTCTGTCTATGTGTATGTCTGCAGGCCAGAAGAGGGCACCAGACCTCATTATAGATGGTTGTGAGCTACCATGTGGTTGCTGGGAATTGAACTCAGGACCTTTGGAAGAGCAGTCAGTGCTCTTAACCACTGAGCCATCTCTCCAGCCCCTCCTTCATATCTTTAATGATCTCTGGGAGCTTAGTATAGTTTACTGGCTTGTGGGCAGCCTTATGGAAACCTGCCAGGAGGCAAGTCAAAAACTGGTCCCTAGCTAAAATCCCACCTGGAGTATTATAATCCCAGTGTGGCTCTTGCTCTGGGACCACCTCTACCCCAGGAGAGTAGGAGGCAAGAGTTTGGTGAATCTCGTCTGCATGTTGCCTGGCCTGCTCCCAAACTCGCCTGCACTCTTCAGGAAGTAGGTTATAGGATAGGATCATATAGATGTCATGAAAGGTGAGATTATAAGATTGGGTAAAATATTGAAATTGTTTTATGAAAGTGGTAGAATTAGATGTATAGGACCCCAGTTTTTGTTCTATATGGGAAAGTTCTGAGAGTGAAAAAAGAACATGTACCCTAATCAATCCATCTACACCAGCCACCTCTCACAACAGGAGAACTGTAGCAGGCTTGGTTTGGTTAGGATTAGGTTCCATAGCAGCACGTGAGCGTGTGAGAAAAGGGGTAAAGGTGGGTGCCAGAGCAGGGCAGCTGCTATGGCCAGGCACCGGAGAGGAAGAATAATTCAGCGGGGCTGTTGGAGCAGGTCAGGGGGGAAGAGAGCAAAGAGCAAGCAGAGGGAGGTGGCGAGGCAGCAGGAGGTAAAGGAACTGGCATAGAAGCTGGGTCTGCAGGAGCTGAAGAGACAGGTGTAGAAGCTGGGACTGAAGGGACTAGAAAGACAGGGGTAGAAGCTGAGGGAACGGGGGGGGGGGGTAGCTTCCCACTGAGGTCAAAAAGGCAGAGGTTCATTAACTGGATCCAGAGTGGAAGCGAGGGGTTCTTCAGGTACAGATGGCATAACCAGGAACATGTGAGCAGGTGAACAGTTTGCAAGGACAGAGGGCTTAGACTTAGAGCTTAAATAAAAAAAGACTTGGATATAGGGAAACTCCAACCATTTGCCTGTGCGCTGACAACAGTTAGAAAGTTTCCGTAAAATATCAGGATTAAAGGTGCTGTTAGGTGGTAACTTTAGATTACCAGCTAAATTGTAATGAAGCCATTTTTTTTTTAACAAAGGTGGACAAATGTGGGAATCTGCAGGTAGGGCATTAAGGCCTGAGGTGTTAGGGCATCTAAAAGGCACCCCGGGGGGGGGGGGAGGCTGGATTGATAGGTTTGGAAGGTTTGGTTTCCATGGTCAAAGCCGTGTAAACCCGCAAAATAGTGACACCACATGGCTCACACAGTAAGACGTCTCTTGACTGTGTGTGGGGTGTGAATCAGCACAAACACCACAGGGACCCGTGGCTGGGTGTCTCCTGACCCCAGGTGGGGTGTTATGGCCTGGCTGGATCTGGTCAGGGTGACTCAGAAGCCAAAGAGGCCAGAGGCCACTCCGAGCGGCATTTTATGGCGAGGGAAAAAAGGAAAAGAAATGGAAAAAAAAAAAGAAAGAAGAATCTGTCAAATGCGCTGCACAGAATGTGCAGTGCTAGCCGGGTCAGTCCAAACATGATTTTAGCTGAGGGAAGCAAACTGCAGGTGATTGTCAGCGAAAGGAACATCTGTGGCCTTGAAGACTGTGGTTGGGGAGGTCTCCCCATCTCTAGGAACTCCAGAAGGTTACCGGGAGCTCAATGGTCAATTCTTCAGGTTTGGAGAAACTGTTAAGCTGACCAGAATGGGAAGACTCACCAATCGAAGCCAGTGTTATTCGGAGAGGTTGTGCTCAGGCATATGGAACATGTGGGTTGTTTTCAAGAAGGTCCCCGGTTTTGGTTCCGACCCCAGGAGAGGGGCCTGGGGCGGAAGAGTCTCTCGAGTCTCGGCACCAATGAAATGATCTGGCGTGAGCGAGAAGAGAACACGAGAGGTGAGCAAACCCACTAAGGAGTTTATTAGAGGGGGAAAGTGCACACAGGCCTGGGAATGATGTACAGAGAGAGAGCAAAGATGGTACTTCCAGCTTTTAAAGACTGCCTAGCACATGCGCACAGGGGGAAGACATGATTACATCACATGCTGATGACGAGTGACCCACGCCTTGCACATGCGCACAACGGGTTTGCATGACTAAGTCACATGCTGATGATGGGCAACCCGGAAGTGCAGCATAATGGGTGGCTGAATAATTACAATGGGGATGTGGTTAGTAGCGTGCTGGCAGGTTGGAGGACCTCCTTAAACTGTCATCAGCCTTGTGGCTATATAAAATTTTATATACACCCACAGGTGGAAAAGTGCTGCTCTAGCATATCCATGGGCATTAGGTATTAGCTATCAAACAATAAAAAATGTAATCACATAAAAAAACAGAAATACAAAATCCTAATAATGGCTGAGAAAATTTCTGGATGACAATATTCATATTTAATAAGCTATTCAAAATATAGTTCTCTATGCTTAATAAAAATTGGGCCATGGCCGGGCGGTGGTGGCGCACGCCTTTAATCCCAGCACTCGGGAGGCAGAGGCAGGCAGATCTCTGTGAGTTCGAGGCCAGCCTGGTCTACAAGAGCTAGTTCCAGGACAGGCTCCAAAGCTACAGGGAAACCCTGTCTCAAAAAAAAACAAAAACAAAACAAAACAAAAAATTGGGCCATGTTATCAGGGTTTCTGTCCTGCCCAGTTCCCACAATCATTAAGTCCCAAAGAAATCACACAGAGGTCTACATTAATTATAAACTGACTGTCCCAGTATCTCAGGCATTTTATTGACGCTTAGAGCTTATATCAGCCCATTATTCTTATCTATGTTAACCATGTGGATCAGTACCGTATTTGGAGTAGCAGTCAAATCTTGCTTCTTCTGTGGCTGGGACAGGACTACAGAGAAATGGGATTCCTTCTTCCCAGAATTCTCCTGTTCTCATTGACCTGCCTCTACTTCCTGTCTGGTTGTTCTGCCTATACTTCCTGCCAAGCTACTGGCCAAACAGCATTTCTTTACAATAAAATTGATAGAATACAGACCATTGTCTCACATCAGGGCCAGATATATCATTTTTCTGATTTTAAAACAATGGATTGTGTGTGTATATGTCTGTCTGTCTGTCTGTCTGTCTGTCTCTCTCTCTCTCTCTCTCTCTCTCTGTGTGTGTGTGTGTGTGTGTGTGTGTCTGTGTGTGTGTGTGTGTGTGTGTGTGTGTGTGTAATTTACCCACTAGACCCACAACTAACCATAATGAGCATTTTAGTGGATTTCCTTTCCAGAGCTGCCAGCTTCCTGAGATTAAAATCCTGTTCTGTGCTTCCTGGGCCGATGGCTAACAAGGGAGAGAAGGTTGGCAATTGATTCCGGACATAGGTCACCATTTGATTGAGAACATGGAGCCAAGGATCTTGAGCTCAACATTCAGACAAGCGAAACTGTCCAGAGCTACTTTAAAAGGTCACCTGTCACCTGGCCTGCAGCTGTGGAAGCTGCTCTCCTCCCAGGTAGGAAGATGCCCGGTCCTGCACTGACAGGCCACAACACTTGGAGTCTCACTCCCTCTTCCATTGTTTCCTAAGGACAACTCTATTGCCTTGTGCTGTCCATCCCACCAAAACAGACAGGGAGACTTAAGCCCAAGCTTCATCAACTGTGGGTCTCAACTACAAATGAATGTCACAAAATGTATGGAGATGACCAAAGGTTTCTGAACACTTAATAACCAGACCATTATCAAAAATCAAACACCTGATTCTAAGATGAGCCTGACAGTGTTATCTGGGTTGTATCATGTGGCTTCACCGAAGCCTTCATTCTGCACACACAACTCACAACTTTGTACTGCACCTCTGGTCATACCACCTGAAACACCTCGGCCAGATTAGAGGCCACACTGTGCTATGAATCATAGTGTCTTAACTGTACAAAGTTCTCTGCTCTTACGGAAACAGAATGGCATGGTTACAGAAAATAAAGGCTCTTTTAGTATTAGCCTGCGGTCACCTTCAACTTGTGAGCATCAGATGAGTGCATCTTGGGGCTAGAATATGGCTCTGTGGGAAATGTGCTTGTTGAGAAAGCATGAGGACAAGTTTGGATCTCTGGAACCCACAGAAAAACTAGGCATGGTAGCACATTCCTAACACCCAGCATTGGGATGGGGAGGCAGGAGGATCTCATTAGCTAATCTGTATAGTCAAAACATCAAGCTCCAGCCTCAGTGAGAGACCTTGCTCAGGAAAATAAGATGTTTGGGAGCTGGAGACTTGCTCAGGAAAATAAGATGTTTGGGAGCTGGAGAGATGGCTTAGTAGTTAAGAGTGCATGCTGCTCTATCAGGGTAGAACTCTGGTTCCAGCACCCACACTGTGTGGATCACAAATGCCTGTGAGTCTAGCTCCAGGGATTCAAATACACATCTGGCAGCAGTAATGGCCCTTAATCCAGCTCCAGTCTCTGCTCTATCTGAGGTGGCTGCAGCTACAGAGAGGTACAGGGCAAAGATCTGACGGCTGCCAGTCAAGGGGCAAAGCCATTCAAAACCACAGTAACAGCTTGGATCATTTAAAGGGAGAACAAGGTGCCAGTGAGACAGTTCATGGGTAAAGATGCTCCATGCATTAGCCTGGGGATAGTACAGGGGTTAAAGTGTTAGATGCGTTAGCCCAGGGACCAGAGTTATATCCTGGAACCCACATAAAGGTGGAAGGAGAGAACCCACCCCACAAAGCTGTCTGCTGACCTCCTCACGCATTCTGTGGCTCAGTCTCCCACAAACACACATTACACATTCATACAATAACAAGTTCCTTTTAAATAAAATAAAATACAAAAACACTGAGATGTTTATAAGCAAGATCCAACACAAAAATGTCATAGTTTACCAGTAAATTCTATAGGACAGTTACTTTCTGTATTAGTCAGGGTTCTCTCGAAGAACAGGTGTGATAGAGTGGGGGAGTGTGTACTGTGTGTGTGTGTGTGTGTGTGTGTGTATGTGTATGTGTAAAGGGGATTTACTAGAATGGCTTACAGGCTTTGATCCAGTTAGTCCAACAATGACTGTGTACCAACACAAGATCCAAGTATCTGGTAGTTTTTTAGTCTGTGGGGCTGGATGTCTGAGCTGGTCTTCAGGATAGACTGGAGTCCCAAAGAAGCAGGTGCTAGAGCCAGTGGAAGAATTGATTGCCCATGAAAGAGAAAGCAGGCAGGCTAAGAGAACAAGCTTCCTTCTTCCGTGTCCTTTATATGGGCTGCCAGCTGAAGGTGTAGCCCAGATTAAAAGTGGATCTTCCCATCTCAAAAGATCTAGACTAAAGGTTTATCTTCCACTTCAAAAGTACTGGATTAAAAATAGCTCTTTCCACTTCAAGTTATATAATTATGAAAAAAATCCCTCACTAATAGACACACTGCACACTGCAATGGAAACTTGATTTGAGTATAGAATTGCTGTGGAATATTTGTTTAAGATGTGTTACATTTGGTTATGCTGTGAAAAATTTTCTTGGGTATGCAAAGATGTGTTGCATTCTTTTATGTTTATTTTTTTAATTCTATAAAACTGTGTTATTTTGCCTGTCTAGAACACCTGATTGTTCTAATAAAGAGCTGAGCAGCCAATAGCAAGTCAGGAGAGAGAAACAGGGGGGCTGCTAGGCAGAGAGAAGAGGAGGAAGAGGAGGAGCCAGAAAAGGAGAAGGAGAGGAGGGTGCCAGGAGCCAGTCACCCAGCCACACAATCAGCCACAGAGTAGGAAGGAAAGAAAGGTATATAGACTAGAGGAAGGTAAAAGCCCAGAGGCAAAGGGTAAACAGCATAATTTAACTTAAGAAAAGTTGGCTAGAAACAAGCCAAGCTAAGTTCAGGCATTCATAAGTAAGAATAAATCTCTTTGTATTTATTTGAGAAATGGGTGGCATGCCTTCAAAGAGAAAGAGTAAAACAACAACAACCAAAAAAAAAAAACTACATTGATTTTATGAGACTGTCATAATTCAAACAAATGTGTAATGTGTTAAGTATTTTTAGCTATTTTTGTAATAATTTATTCCACAGCAATATCAAACTAATAGAGCAGGCAAGTGGGTAGACTCTGACTGACACTGTGAACTACTATGAAAGACTCATAAACATCACTGCAGGCTAAGAAGGGGTCATGAGTTCTATTGCTAGGAATTGGGGCCAGGGGGAAGAGCCATAGACTGCAGGATTGAAAACAAACAGAGGACAGCCAAAGGACGCTCACTACGAGGCCTTTGCTTTGGGGGCTCAGGAAAGAACTGATTTGGAATATCTCCACACTAAATGCAGCACAGTGCCGATAGTAAGCATTTTTACAGGGCTGTGGAGATAGTTTAGGAGTTAAGAGTGCTTGCTGTTCTGTCAGATGACTCAAGTTTGGTTCCCAGCATCTACTCTGGGCAGCTCACAGCCACAGGTAACCACAGCTCCAGGGGATCTAATGTCCTCTTCTGGTCTCTCAGTGCACCCACAAATGTGAACACACACACACACACACACAGTAATTACTATACTATAAAATGCTATACTGTACTGTACATGTGTTAAGAAATAAAAACTTGTTTGTAGGGGCTGGAGAGATGGCTCAGAGGTTAAGAGCACTGGCTGCTCTTCTGTAGGTCCTGAGTTTAATTCCCAGCAACCACATGGTGGCTCACAACCATCTGTAATGAGTTCTGGTGTCCTCTTCTGGCCGGCAGGCATACATGGAGGCTGAACACTGTGTACATAATAAATAAATCTTTTTTTTAAAAAAAAAACTTGTTTGTATTACAAACAAATATAGGCATGCATATGAGGTGATGGACAAATTAATTAAATGGATTGTGAAATCACTATGTATGTGTGTGTATCATATAACACATTGTATGTATATTTAATTTTGAATTTTTAATATTTTCACTTACTTTTATGGAGTGTATGTATATGTGGGTAGGTTTATTCATTCCATGGTCCATGTATTAAAGTCAAAGAATAACTTCAGGGAACCAGTTCTCATTCAGCCATGAAGGCACCAGGGCTCTGACTCAGATTGTCATAGTTTGGTGGGAGATGCCTTTACCTGCTAAGCCATCTCCCTGGCCCTGATGGTAGGGTTTTGTTGTTGCGTGGTTTTTGTTGCTATTTTTTGTTTGTTTTGTTTTGTAGATTTCTTTTTTAGGCATGGTGTCAAGCAGCCCAGATGAATTTCAAATTTACTATGTAGCCAAGGATGACCTTGAATTTCAGTTCCTTCAGCCTCCCTCTTCCAATTGCTGGAATTACAGACTTGTGAATCAATCATGTACAATTTTTATTAGTCAATTGTACTTCAACAAAGCTAATGGAAAAAAAATGTAATGCAAGGGTCAAAAACCACTGAGAATTGGTAGAACACAAAATTTCTCCAGTCTAATACACTCTAAGCAGGTACACACTCTGAATTTGGATCCTTCGAAAATGCATTTGGAACTTACACGACGAGTAATGGAAAGGGCAGAGCTCTAATGGCTGGGATTCATGTTATGTGGTTTTCTGACACAGGGTCTATGTAGTCTTGGCTGTCGTGTAAAATAGATTTTTAGAGAAATACAACAATAACCTACCAGTTATTTCATGCCTATTAAAGTAAATCACCTTTCCTGAAGTATTAAATGTAATTAACCGGGTATTAAATTGGCATGCATTTAGATTAAATCTCTTATATTTATTTTTTACAAAGATATTACAAGAAAAGATGTATGAATTTTCTGATGTTTTTAAAGGAACTTGAGTCTATACATCAGAAAAACTTTTGACCACATTAAAATAATTCTACTTCTAGTGCCACATTATTTTGAAGAATTTTTTTCCTGAACACTTTTTATCTCAAAAATAACCCTTACTGGACAGGAGAGGTGGCTCGGTGCCTAAGAGGACTTGCTGCTCTTGCAGAGAGCTCCAGTTTGGATCCCAACATTCACACCAGGCAGCTCACAACCACCTGTAACTCTAGCTCCAAAGGACCCTGCACTCTCTCTGGCCTCTGTGGGTACCAGAAACATGTACATGGTCACATAATACAGCCTTTAAATATTTAAAAACAGAAATTTTATTTGGTTTGGTTGTTTATTGCTTTTTGAGACAGGATCTCAATAGACGAAAGCAGCCCTGAACTTGAGAGATGGATCATCCTCCCCGAATGCAGAGATTAAACTGGTGTGGTGTGGTGGCTCAGGCCTTTAATCCCAGCACTCAAAGCATGCAGATCTCTTGAGTTTGAGGTCAGCATGGTCTACACAACAAGTTCCAGGACAGACAGGTCTACACAGATAAACCCTGTCTCCAAACAAAACGAAACAAAAACAAAAAGCTAAAGGGGGTATTAAAAAATTATTTGTGTACACATTATTTTAATAATTTTTTACATGGACTTCTAAATTCAGATCCCAGCCCATATGCCAGGAAGCTCACGACTTCCTGGAACCCTGACTCTAGCAGTTCAAGTTCCATGTGTGGCAGACACACACAAAGAAGATAAAAATGCTGACTAAAAAAAAACAATGTGCTCACAAGCTAGGCTCCACCCCTTGGGTTTGAGCAATCCTTGCAGTTCAGCTTGTGAGAGTTCTATCATCTTATTTTAATTCTTATAGAAATCCCACTGTTTCTATATTTTACAGAAGAGGAAGCTCGGTCTTGGAGGTTATAGAGTTTCTGTAATGTCAGGTTGCCACTAACAGCTGAGCCACAGCCCTACGCAGGCCATCTTCCTCATCAGACTGTCTATGTCCCTCAACTCTAGCCCCCAAAACAGACATCCCTACTTCTCCAGATTTGTTTAAAAAGAATGATTATCTGTTTCCTGATGCGGTCAGGTAGGACGGTCGGGTGCTGCTGGTGGTGGTGTTAAGTCAAGAAAAAAAACATGTAAACATGTGCATTCTTTTAGAACTTGCTGGTGCTCTCCTTCAGTCTTCTAAACTGTAAGGATGTTAGCTGATTACTTGTATGTTTCTGAAAGGGAGGGTGTGCCCTGCGTTGGCATTTTACACAGCAAAAACATCATGGTGTACCTGTTACCTCTGGTTCTAAAAGTTCCTGCTACATGTTTTTTATATCTTTTTCAAACTGCAGAGAATTTAGATTTCCCCCTGAGTTCTAAGTTTAGAACCGATCTGCTCTCTCTACTTTGCCCCATCTGCATTAGAAATAAGTAAAATCAGCTGCACAGTGGGGGCGCATGCCTTTAATCTCAGCTCTCAGGAGGCAGAGGAGGGCAGATCTCTGTGAATTGGAGGCCAGCCTGGTCTACAAAATGGAGTTCCAGGACAGCCAGAGCTACACAGAGAAACCCTGTCTCAAACAACAACAACAACAACAGAGAATAAGTAAAATCACGAGCACAGAATAAGAACTTACATGTGCCCTAACTTCAGTAGTCTCACTGAAGAATTCTCCCAGGCACCATGCTGCGTTTCAGGAATAAAGTAAGACACACGTCCACTCCAAAAGTTCGTGACTTTCCTAGGAAATGTGATCTGTAAGTCTTTCCTATTATTAACAAAAATATCACTCAACCTTTCTGTTCAAGCAGTGCAAAACATATCAACATTTAACTAACAAACGAAAATGATCAGGAAAACCAGCAATAAACATGAGCATGAATATGGTCGCACTGCTTTCTCCCTTCATCCAATTATGAGAACAAATGGTGCTGAGAATGATGCTAACGATTGCAGCTGTGTGCTCCTGGTAAATCTGCGCCGTTCCTTGGAGCGAATTCAAAGAGCAGGGAGAAAGCCTTTAAACACCATGAAGCTTCAGGTGACAATAAGGAGAGGCAATAAATGAATGCAGTTGGCAAATGGTGGCAAGGACCACGTCAAGAGCACTGAACCGAATTTAAAGGTAACGATTTTAAAGAACTGTCTAATGTCTAAGGTATTTGATTAGAAAGATTGGAAAAACTGCCAAGTCATGCGACTCTCCAGGACTGCTTTTCCTGGGAGTCCGGAGGAACCCTCGGAAGTCTGCCTCTTGGTTGTTTTCACCAGAATCACCCACCGGCTTGCGGCCTTCCCTTGCTGACACTTGGCCAGCTGGGTTGGGAGATGGGATTCTGCACCTGAGGTGGCTCTGGGGACACTAAAGCTGGGACTGCTGGCTCCTGGCTCACTGGAGCTTCACTCACCACCCCACCGCCCAGTCTCACTAACACATTCACACCCTGCATCCCTAGGCAGAGGTAATGCAGAATCCCAACTAGACCCTGGCTAGAAATTAGGGGATTTAGAGTCAAGATTAGAAACCTCTGATTACTGCACGGAGCAGATACGGAATGCATTTAGCAAATAACAGTACTGATTGAACTTTAAAAAAACCGATTCTGGGGGCTGGAGAGATGGCTCAGTGGTTAAGAGCATTGCCTGCTCTTCCAAAGGTCCTGAGTTCAATTCCCAGCAACCACATGGTGGCTCACAATCATCTGTGATGAGGTCTGGTGCCCTCTTCTGGCCTACAGACATACACACAGACAGAATATTGTATACATAATAAATTTAAAAAAAAATAAAAAAAAAACCGATTCTTGGGTTTGAGACTCCTTAGAGACCCAAGTCTCCCTGACTCCACCCTGCTAAGAACCCATCAATCAAAACAGGAACGCCCATGGCAGAGTGCGGTTCTTACCTCCATCCCCAGCAATCTCCAGGCTCCGCGATGAGCCTCACCGCCCAGCAGTTGGTGTCCAGTAGAGACACCTGCGAGGCACACCTGCAGGCGACATCTGCCTGCCCCCTGCGCCTGCTTGGACGCTGGTGATTCAGCGCCTTTCCGCCTCCCGGGTTACCAGGGCGACGCACACGCACACACGCCCCTAGGGATGGCCTGTACTGCAGCCTACATTACTAAGTGGAGGGACTTTTGTGTTTGTTTCCCTACTCTGGTCCCCTCCCCACCTCTTCCCGGTCATAGTTCCAAAATGTTGAGGGCTTGGACAAGTCTTCCAGGAAAATGCTCCGTCCGGGCAACACGCAACTGCCTAGCGCAGACTCCTCCAAGTCAAGTCACCGGCTATTCAAGCCTTGTTTTCTGCCTAGCCTTTGAGAGTTCCGCCCAGACTCAATGTAATTTATTTTCCTGGTTTTGAGTACTGCTTTCTGACCAAGGATGAAAACCTGAGCCCACGTCGACACAGACCAATTCTGTACTTTGCAAGGTTAAAAGGATGCCGGGTGCATTTTGAGGCATGTGTCCTCTAGTGAGAATCTGAGCCAGAGGAAACGGGGTGAACTATTCCTTTTATTTTAATACTATAATAAGGACATTAAGGACATCAAAATATCTAGGTACTTAATGAGGAGCAGAAGGGGTGGGTGGATTATTCCTTACACTTTCCATCATCGTGGGGGGGGGGGGGGCTTCCATTGGCACCTTTGTGGAGACACCTCAGACAAGTTACAAACCTGCTCAATGTTTTCTGTTACCAAATGGAGATTGACCCAGGAGCAGTAGTACACGAGTAATACCAGAACGCATGAGGATGAGGTGGGAGAAGGGCTACACAATGACACTGTTTCAAACAATAATTAAAGAGTCAGACATGCTGAGGCAGTCAGGATGATCACCGAGTCTGAAGCTACCCTGGTGCATCTAGCAAGTTCTAGGCCAGGCCAGGCTATGTAGTGAGACTTTTTAATGGGAAGGTGAGGTGAGAAGGCTCAGCCAGTAAATGCACTCATTTTACCAAGCCTGATGACCTAAGTCAGATCCCTGAGACCTATATAAAAATGGAAATGATTCCACAAACTGCCCTCAGGCCTCCACGTATACTTAAAGACATCGCACATAGGAAGAAAGTGGGAACTAATGGAGATAATGAACCATTTAGGAGGTGGGGGACAGTGGGTGTGTAAGACTGAGGAAGGTGCACACCTTTAATCTCAGCTCTCAAGTTGTTTAAAGTCAACATGGTCTACAAAGGGAGTCCTGGATAGACATGGCTACCCAGGGAAATCCTGACTCAAAAAACCAGTAAGGAAAGGAAGGCTGAGAAGGGATAAAAGGAAGCATGGACTACTAAGTAGGAAAAAATAATTCCGTCACTGCACGGACTTGAAGGACAAGAGCAAACCTATCTACGACATTTCCTCCTCCTGTCATGATACATCTTTAATGATAGAGAAATGATGCAGACAGTGAAGAAATTCAGGAGGCAGTCTGTGACAAAGATGGAAATCATTACAACAGTGGACAAGTCCCCCACCATGACAGATTTAGGAGTGAGACAGAGTAAGACACATACTGATGGAGAGAAGACAATTGTACATCCTTACAGATGACAACTGCAAAAGGACCCACTTTCAACTTCTTCCCCCTCCAAAACAACCAAATGGAGTATCGCAAAAAAAAAAAAATCACTATCTTTCATTTGCACACACATCATGGAGGCACTGGAGGAAATGCCAGCCTCCTGGTATTCAGTGGACATTCACTGACCTCCCATAGCTGCCAGGCAGGTTCAAAGGGAAAATTTCAGGAATTCATAGGTTTTTTTTTCTGATTGTATGCTAGGACATTTTTCACATAAAATCATGGAACTATCCTAATTTGAAGGGACAAAGTCAAGTTCAATGAGGTTAAAATACAATGCACACATGGATGGCAAAAACTGTGCTTACCAAAGGTGGCGGGGGCACAGCTCATCACTGGCCTCGTGATGTGGCTCAGTGGCAGAACAATTGTCTGCTACCAATTTTGAGTTGGAATTTCACTAAAGGTAGGAGTTTTTGCTTTCTGCTTAAATTAAAAAAAAAAAACAACAACAACAACAAACCTAAGGGTATTGCAAATTACTAGGTTCTCTATTGTTTTAGTTTAAAAACTATTGCCCAATAAAGACTACATGGTTGTTTCTCCTCTCCTGACTTATATTTTGTCGAAAGTAATAAACAAGGAAAGCATTTTGGTTACATAACAGAAATTATACTTTCATGTTTTTGTAACAAACTGAAGGTCTAATAGTATAATACATCACACATTTCATATTGTGACCTTTTAAACTTAACTGTACCAAGTGAGAAAGCTCCACCCTCCACTACCACACTGCTCTTTCAAGTGAACTTTTTGTTTTTGCCTGGGTCTTACTGTGTAGCCCAGGCCAGACTTAAACTCATGGCAATCCTCTTGCCAGAGCCTTCAAAGTGCTGGGGATTTAATATAATAAAACACACAGATTTCTTGGTGATTCCGACTGAAGAGCAACATCGGAGAAAGGCTGTAGAACAACAAATCCCATCACGGACAGAGAAAGTGTACTCATCTACAAACAAGTACAACGCTTTATTTACAGTACTTCTTTTCTTTACAGAACATTTTTTTTAAATGTATTTTTTATTCACTTCCTAAAAAGTATTTCCGTCGTACCAGTAATAATACCAAAAGGTTACTTTTCTTTATGAATCTTTTCTAAGAAACAATTTCCATGTTGCTTAAGCTGCATGTAATCATTACCAAGCTTAACTGTATCACTTATCAGGAAAAAAATTAACATTAATCAGAAGTTATTGGAATTAAAGTGCAAATTTAACTCATGACTAAGTCAGTTATACTATCAGCTGACAAGAATTGAGTCTGATAGACAACACATCATCTAATGAACATGGCCATGGCTTTTTCACTTAAGTTTCTGAGCTTACAAATCCTAAGACACAGTGCGGTCTCAAGTATTCAGTACCTTGCTTTTTCTCTTGATAAAATGGTTTAATTTTGGAGCCTAACAATCCTAACAGTAGTGTTGTGATAGTTAGCCCTGAGACAATATGGCCACTACTTGAAAGCCTGATGGCAGCCATGAGCACTATTACGAGCTGAGTGGCTGTGTTCCTTCAACAAAGGTCCACACATTCTGAACGCAAGCATGCTTTGATTACAAACACCAATTTTTAATTCTCAGGACACAAGCTGCAAGGCAAAATGTAACCGCTTTTGCTGTACTAATGAACCAGTTTGCTAAGTCTTGTGTGTTATACCTAGCTTTCCTGAAAGATTGAGATCTACATGAATCCAGAACTACTGCAAACGTATAAAGTTCAAATTTGGAAAGCTTTTCACAATACTACATTCAAGTTGCACAGGAGACCCCAGTGATCACTAGGAAATCTACCACAGTCCAGTTTTTCCAACCCAATAAGGTCTAAACTTTGGGGAATAAGGTGGCCCGCCTCTGCTCTGAAAAATATTCGATCAAAGCGATGCTTATAAGCAGCAGGAATCCCAAGATTAGTATTTATTCTTGTATCCCATGTATACTGGCAATGTTTAGGTTTGCCCAAAAATTCCCAGGCATCAAAAACATTCTCAGGTAAACCACCACATTTGATAACCTGGAAGAGAAAAAGAATACCAGGTAAGAATCATACCCCAATTTAAAAGATGCTTAGTATTATCAACTATAATACAACTTTTTATTTTATTTTTAATATTTTTGGGTTTTTTGAGAACACACTATGTACTCCAGACTGGCACTGAACTCAGAGATCCACCTGACTCTATTTCCCAAGTGCTGGGATTAAAGGCATGTACTACTATGCCTAAAAATTACATTTTAAAATATAATAAAAAGGGGCTGGTGAGATGGCTCAGCGGTTAAGAGCATTGCCTGCTCTTCCAAAGGTACTGAGTTCAGTTCCCGGCAACCACATGGTGGCTCACAACCATCTGTAATAATGTCTGGTGCCCTCTTCTGGCCTGCAGGCATACATGCAGACAGAATATTGTATCCATAATAAGTAAATAAATAAATTTAAAAAAATAAATAAAAATAAAATATAATAAAAAATAAACAAACCAAACTCTAATAATACTGTTTTTCTTTCCCATGCACATTACACGATTTACAATTTTATGGCTGGTACGAAGGATAGCAGTCAACTACAGTGTTAGCATGGTGACACATCAGGTTCAATCTCCATCAACACCAAAAGTTTCTACGTGTGGTAGAGAACACACACCTGACCACTTCAATCATTCCTTCAGTTCCAGCCTAGGGACCCACATGGTGGAAAGAGAGAACCAAGTCTCAAAAGTTCTGCTCTGACTACCATGTACACATTCAAAATGAAATTCTAATTATTTTTATCTGAAAAATCTCATTATACAGAAAAAACAGAATAAAAACAAAATACTAGAGGTGTAGGTCAGCAGTGTTGCCTAGCATGTAGGAGGCCCTAGGTTCTATCAACAAATGTAAGTTTTAAAAAAGTTAGTTTCAACTCAGAATAGAATTAAGTCTTCTTGAACCTAGGGAGGCTACAAATACCCTAAATCTTTTTAAAGCTCTTCTAATTATTATTTTATTGATATGTATCCAACATATTTATCGCTTTATATTGCCTGTAGCACATGTAGTAAGATTTCCCTTAATAGTGTAAAGGCCTCTTTTTATATAAAAACTACAACAGTGTCTTCTACCGTGCATTTCCAAATCCATACCTTTAATAAAGCAAACCAAGTTAGTTTCCACAACAACACTCTCCCCACAAACAGTGAACGAACTCTTTTACTCACTTCTTGATCTCTTAAATTTGTATCTCCTGCAAATAGAACAGTAGTTGAATCTGGAGCTTCTTGCATTTTCTGAAAAACCGTTTTTAATTGATTCATTCGTTCAGCAGAATGTTCTCTGGTGCTCTCCAAATGGGACGTCATCAGGCAGAATTCATTTCCACCCACACTCACCTACAACAGGATAATTACAATTCAGTAGGCCACCGACCTCTGCTCTG